GATAGTTTGTGTATCTAGGCTCCACAGAGCTTGGCTCTTCACTTTCCAAGAATTTATTTAATGCTCAGAAATGGAGGAAGAACATTTCACTGGCAATATCTGCTATATTGAGAGCTAGCTTTACCTTTCAAAATTATCAGATTAATTTCATTTTGTACTCTTTTATATAATCCACAACTTTTGACTGAACTGCCTTGTGTGTAGAGCGATTTGGAATGAAAGTGGGTATTACAAAAAAGTAGATGTCTGGTAATGATAATCTGATGTGATTTTGCTGAGGGGCTTCCCTGTGTTTGTCCTCAGCTAAGAACATTTCATGTATTTCAGCTCTGCCTCTAAAGTAACTGTAGTTCAAGGCATTAATATTTCATGAGGCATAAACGGTTCCCCTTTAGGAAAAGTAAAAGCAGTTTTTCCTGTTTGTGAAATTTCCACATTGCCAAGAACAAGAAAGCTTTCGAAACACTATCTTTGCTGCTTGCAGAGCTTCACTGCCTTATAGGGTCTGAATCCCCTGGATTCACGCTGGGGGCGGGCTGGGAATGCTGGCTTTTCCTCCTTCTGGGTGATTCTGGGAGGCCTGCAAATGATGTCATGGTACATTTTAGGCTACAATAACAGGAAATCATCAAGTGTTTACACTGGCAGACTGGGCTGTGATGTGATTTTCCTCCTCTTCCTCTCTGCCCCCCCCACCCACCTCGCCCCTGCCATTGACTTCCTTGATATATCTGCTTCCTCTGATTAAAATACTACAAGGTGGCAACACTGAAGGAGGAAAAAGGGAAGTGGGGGAGGGAGACAGAAAGGCATATTTTAAAAAAGGATGATTCCCCTCAAATCACTGACAGAGAGCACAGTGCTCCCTCTCTGGCCCCACACATTTTGTTAGTGCCGTTGCTCAGAAACACGTCAGAAACTGGCCTGCTGAGCAACTGGAGGATGGACCGCTCCCAGCTGAGACATGAAAAAGAAACTCTCCCCTCCTAGAACAGATGACTCACAGAAAAGGTCTCCCTGGCAAAGTTTTCTTTGAATTTTCCTGCTGCACAGGCACATCTAAAAATATATGCCACGGGTTGATGGATTTCAAGGAGGAGAAGCCCACATTTTCAGGGCTTGGGTCAGAGCAAGGGTGCAAGTGACTTTTACCCAGAGACTGTATCACAATCTGTAGCAAACATCAGTTTTCAGTTTCAGTTTCAGAGGCAAGGGAGGGTGCTAGGGTTCAGGTCCTGCTTGTACCAGTGATGAACAGCATGAGTGTTAGACACTGTGTCCTTCCCACCCTGTTAATACAAAGGCAAGGAGGAGGAAGGTGTAAGGTGGTATCCAGAAGACAAGGGATTTCAACGAGGTAAAACAGACTAATTGGCTCCAGGGTAGTTCACATTTCCATGACTTTAAAGAACCTGCCATTAGCTCAGTTTGTTGGACCATGGTGTTAACAGCATCAAGGTGGTGTGCTTGATCCCGAGTGGGCCATTCTCTTAAGAGCTCCACACAATTATCCTTGTGGGACCCTTCCAACTCAGAATATTCTGTGATTCTGTGATATACTTCCAGCTCATTGCTATTGCACTGGGTTAGCAGAGTGCACACAAGTAGCTCCAAGTTGGAGGAACATTAAGGAGTACCTGGGAGGGGCTAACTCTAGAGCAGGTATCAGCATTTTGCAGGAGTTTATGGAGCATGTCTCATTTATAGCAGTGTGGAAGGGAGTCTGAGATGAGAAAGACTGCAAATATTGAAGAAGATTTCTGTAAATGAATATATGTAAAAGAAGCACACACTAGGGATCTCAGTGCCCTGAGCTGGAGGACCATGACTGCAAGAATGATCAACTCCCAACTGACCCTGAAATTGTGCTGGTCCAGATGGATTTCCACAAATCTAATGGGCCTGATGGGATTCAACCAAGAACTCTCAGAGCTGCTGATGTAATTGCAAAGTCCCTCTCCATGATTTTTGAGTGTCTTGGGAATTTGGAGAGGTCCCAGCTGACTGGAAGCTGGTGAATATTGTCCTGATTTTCAAGAAAGACAAGCAGGAGGACCCTGGAAACTGCAGGCTGGTCAGTCTCACTTCAGTGCCCATTAAAATAATGGAAGATATTATTCTGGGAGTTATTGAAAAACACCTGGAGGACAACGCAGGCATCAGTCACAGGCAGAATGACTCCATGAGGGAGAAGTCTTGATTGTAAAACATGTTTCCTTCTATGATAGAGTAGCTCACCTAGCTGATCTAGGAAAGACAACCAATGTAATCTTTTTGGACTTCAGCAAACCTTTTGATACTGTCTCTCACAGTATCCTCCTGGATAAAATGTCCAGCATACAGCTGAATAACCACGTTATGAGATGGGTGAGCAGCTGGCTCACAAGCTGGGCACAAAGAATTGGAGTGAATGGGGCAGCATCAGGCTGGAGACCTGTCACTGGTGGGGTTCCACAGTTCTCCATCCTTGGCCCAGTTCTCTTCAACATTAAAAGTTCAGATGCAGGACTTGAAGGAATACTAAGTAGCCTTGCCATTGATACTAAATTGTGAGCAGCTGTTGACTCCCTCTAAGGCAGAGAGGCCCTGCAGAGAGTCTGGGACAAATTAGAGAAGTGGGCATTTACCAGCTCTGTGAAGTTTAGAAGGGCCAACTGCACTGGAACAGAGCAGCCCTGGCTGTATGTACAGAGTGAGGAACAAGAGGCTGGAGAGCAGTGCTGGGGAAAGGGACCTGGGGATCCTGGACAATGGCAAGTTGAATCTGAGCCAGCAGTGCCCTGGCAGCCAGGAAGGCCAATCGTGTCCTGGGGGGCATCAGGCACAGCATCACCAGCTGGGCATGGGAGAGATTGTCCTGCTCTGCTCTGCAATTTCTATGGTCTGTTTTCTCCATTTATGCAGCATCAGCAACACTGACAGTTCAAATTTTGCTGAGAAATCTCCCAAATGGAGATGAGCCTGAAACACTCACTACAGTAAAACTACTAGGGTATGGAAAGTCTTTCTAAGAGTACCATGGCTCTGTTCAGTGCATTTAGAAACTGCAGGTTTCCAGTTCACAAAGCTCAAGAACCGGCAGACAGGAAACCTTTTAGAAAAAAAAATATACAGTCAGAGGGACTTATACTTTGCATCCATGATGCAACTGTAAAGTGCAATTTACAGCAGTTAGCAGAAGGAACAGGAACCATGAAGATGTGATTTCACCACTCCAAGTTACTCAAATAGTTATTTACAGTCAGTGACAAGCTGATACAAACTGCATTAAAACCATGGGTGCTTTGGCTTAATCATTACTAATATGTTATTATCTGAGGCATCTAATCAGGACTGTGAGAGAAAGACTACCACAGCAACGCTCACACATCTCCCAGCATAAGTCTACCCTGGTCCAGAATAAATGAGAAGATTTTGCTCCAACCAGGTAGCTGGGATCTTAAGCCCACTTAAACAGGTACTTCACTCCCAGACACACTCAAAATGAAGCACAATCTCACATGCTTTGCTGAATGAGGGGTTGAGGTTTTCCTCTCTTTAATAATCCCAAAGATAAATTGTAAGGGTTCACCCACTGGTAAATTCTGCAGACCAATTAGCTCATCTTTGGGAATCAGGCTTTCCAGGGCAGTGGTCACAGCACCAGGCCTGTCTGAGTTCAAAATTCATTTGGACAATGATCTCAGGAGTTGGATTCAGTGATCCTTGTGGGTCCCTTCCAACTCACTGCATTCTATAATTCTATAATTACCAGGTGCCCAGCAGGGCCAACGGAGCCAGTCATAAGCACAGAAAAGCCTAAGCCCCTTCCTTTCCTGGGCTGCACTGGAGTCATCAGGGAACCACACCACAAACTCCCCTCATGATGGGTAATGCCAGCAGGCAGCAGGGCTTCTCCCTTATCATTCACTGCTCTTCTTGCTGGGAAACTCACAACTAAGAGACTCCATGAGGCATGAAATAATTCATAACAAGGCAGAGAAGGGAAGGACTCTCACCCTCTTGGCAAAGCCATGTTGCCAAGCACAGGCCCCATTTCCCCATCACTTCTGTGCTGTATGAAGCTGTGTTGATGTTTTCCATGACAAGCAACTCCTCATGCTTCCACACTGGGGAGTGCTGGGAACATGAAAAAGGAGGGGGAGCTGTATTTACTCCATGCTGATTCACAGGTCAGTTCAAGTTAGCAGGACTGGTCAGCATGCATGAAATAATTTTTTACTGAAAAATAAAACTTAAATGATATTGTATACGGAATTTTTTACTTCCTAAACAAAATAATCTTAGCACATCATCCTGCTATATAAACAACAAGAAGACCATCCAGTTAAAAGGGGAATATTCCTAATTTATGCCTCAAATAAGTAAATTACATTAAAATGGTATTGAGTCGTGTAGACTATGTACTTCTTTCGGAGCTAAAAAAACCCCATGTAGATATTTTGGCTAGTAGCCTAGTGACTTTGTTACATAAAAGTCAAGAACTGGTGAAGGGCCTTGAGGGGAACCTGGATGAGCAGAGCTGAAGTCACTTTGTTCACCCTGGAGGAGACTGAGGGGAAACCTCAATCAATTTACAACTTCCTCATGAGGAGAAGAGGAGGAGCAGGATGATCTCTTCCCTTTGGTGACCAGGGACAGGAACCAAGGGAATGGCCTGGCATTGTGTTAGGGGAGGTTTAGGTTGGATATCAGAAAAAAGTTCTTCACCAAGAAGCGTGCTTGCCCCACCTTGAGTACTCTGTGCTGTGTTGGGCATCCAAAGAAGGGCCAGGAGGAAGGGGAGAGGTCTGGAGGGGAAGCCTTAGGAGTGGCTGAGGTCACTTGGTTTGTTCAGCCTGGACGAGACTGAGGTCAGACCTCATTGTGTTCTTCAACATCTCCGTGAGGGGAAGTGGAGGGGCAGGTACCAAGCTCTTCACTCTCCTGACCAGTGACTCGAGGAAATGGCACGAAGCTGACTCAGGGGCCATTTAGGCTGGCTATTAAGAAAAAACTTTTCACCCAGAGGATGGAACAGGCTCCCCAGGGAAGCGGTCACAGCACCGAGACTGACAAAGCTCAAGAAGCGTTTGGACACCAAACATTATGGGGCACATGGTGCGGCTGTAGGGGACTGCCCTGCGCTTTCTCGCAAGGCTTCCCTCGCCCTGATTCAGGACACACCTCGCCGTCCCTCAGCTTCCCGCATGCACAAGGGGAGGACGCCTTGCCCCGAGCCCTGGGGGCCGCAGAGGAAGCTGCCGCCAGCGCCGCCGCACCCCTGCAGCACCCGCGGGGCCGGGCTCGCCTCAGGCGGCCGCACCCACAGCGAGCGGCGGGCGCGGGAAGCGGAAGCGGCGCGGGAAGCGGGCAGGGCCGGGCCGGGGCGGCCGCGGGAGGCGGGGCGAGGAGCGGCATGGCGGCCCGCGCGGGCCCGGCCTGCCGCCGCGAGCGGCCGAGCTCGTCCCCGGCGCGCAAGCGGCCGAAGCCGCTGCGGACGGTGGTGGCGTGGAGGGGCCGGGCGGAGTGGGACCAGGTGATGGTGGGGCTGTACTGCGGCGACAGCCGGCTGCAGCAGGACGCGCTGGACCGCGTCTCGGCGTGGAAGAGCCGGTACGGGCCGCGGGCAGCGGGGCGGGTCTCGGGGCCGCCCCTGTGTCCCTGGAGCGGCCGCTCTGTGCCCTGGGCCCGGTCCTGGGCCCGGGGGCGGCCGGGGAGCCGAGCGCAGCTCCCCGCCGGAGCAGCTCCGCGGCCGGGGCTGTGTGGGCCCCGTCTGCTGCGCTCCCTCTTCATTGCGGGGGGCTCCGGGCACGCAGCTTATGCCGGGAGCACGGGGCCCTGTGGGAGCAGTGCGGGCAGAGACCCTGCATGCCCGCTGCTTCACGGGCTGATTGCTCGAGGCAGGTATACTCCTAAATTCCTCTGCTGCATCCGTACACAAGACCCGCCTAGGTAAAGCATCTTGTCTGTGTGCTTGGCGTATCAGTAAATATTCATTTATCGTGTGCTTAGGAGTAACCGTGTAACCACTCTGTTCCAATAGAACCGTCCTGGAAAGAGCCTTTGATGCTGTCTCAGCGTGTCATTTCTTAGGCTGTTATGTACCACAGAGCACAAAATGTAGTGGAAAGGCTGCCCTTTTAACAGGGTGAGTGTATTTGTGTGAGCCTGCTCACCTGGTTTTCCTTTGCCTTCAGGTATGGTCCAAAAATGCCTCTTGCAGTGGACTCCACAGCAGAACTGATTCGCTGTAAGGTCCTCGATTCATCCGGCAGACTGAAGTCACACGAGCTCATCCTCTCTTATGGGCTGGCTCTTGTAAGGTAAGGGCTCTCAAGACCCTTGTGCTTTGAGAGAAAGACCTGGACAGATGTCATTATTCCACTGTCTGAGTTCACTTTGCATCTCTGGGACCACAGGGTTGTATAGTACACGGGGAGTTTGTCTCTGGAGTTCCAAGTTTCTCTGCAGCTCTTGATAGTAATTTATTTTTTCTGTAACCTGCATGCAGATTTGTCAACTTGATCACAGAAAGGAAACAGAAGATGGTCAACATTCCTCTGAGACAATTAGCGAGAGAGGTAACTATTTAATAAGAGTTGCTTGATAATTTATAGGTTATTAACAACACTGAGTGAATGAAATTGTGGGGATCATTCTTTTGTAACCAAAGTAACAGATATAGATGCTTGTTTATTCCAGCTGCAAAGTTTTAAACAGGTTTGTTGCAACTGGATCTAAAACTTTGTTCTTTGAAGTCACAATAAGAGTAACAAAGGCTGATGATCATTAAAGGTTTTTTCCTCACATGTGATCAAAAGTCTTGATTTACATGTGTGTAGTCCCACTTGATATACTGTCACAAGTTTTGCTTTCTTGGCGACTGAGATAGGAAAAAGAGCTAAATCTGAGGTTTGTAAATCCTAGTTTTTTGACAAGCAAGGCTGTACATAAAAAACACTCACATTTGCAGGTATTTTCATATTGTGTCTCTTTATTCAGATGAGCTTTTCCACTCATGTATGGAGGAGGAAAGTTTCAAGCTGTAATTGTAGTAGCAGGACCAACTTGAGTCCTTTTACTGCCAGCTGCACTGAACACCATACCTGGGACTGAACAAGTTTTGACAGTGAAGGACAGACAGTGTTTGAGACTCTTCTGTATATGTTTGGGCCCGTGTGTGAGAATTATGAATTTATTTTTATTTTTTTCCTGGGTTTTTGAGAAAAGCTCTACTTCTCACTTTTTAAAACTGATCAAGCTTAAAAGCAAAGGTATTGCATAGTTAAATGTAGTTGTCCTCAGGAAAGTTGCAAAAAACTGCATGCAAATTACAGTAGAAATTTCAGTATTATACGTGATATTATTTGTGTCTTTGATACATAGTTATCCAGAATGTCTCACCCATTTAAATATAGTTTAACTGCCTCTCAGTTACATTAAATTACATGTAACACCTCTGTCTAAAAAGAAATCTCTTGTTGCATGTAACACTGAAGGACCTAAACTCTAAAATACAAGTATTTGTAGGGATCCTAGGCCGCAGGAGGAGTGGCATCAGAGAGCTGGGGGATCTTGGCAGGGGAACTACAGCACAGGAGTGGCCAGGAAGGTGCTGTTCCCACCTGGGGGAGGCTCTGTGCAGCTGTGCAGGTGCAGTGGGAGCAGAGGGCTCAGGTGCTGGCTGTTGTTGCAGGTGGACATCCCCGTGTGGGTTGTGGATCTCCGTCACGAGCTGACGCACGGGAAGCTGCCGCGGCTGGCCCTGTGCCGCAAGGGTGAGTGCCACCAGCAGCTGGCACTGGGAGGGGTGGCCTGAGGCACGCTTGGGGTGGCAGTGCCAGAGCTGCAGGACCTGAGGGGAGCACCCCTGCCTCCGTTTTGGGGTGCTGCAGGACAGGCAGTGTGCTTGTCCTGGCAGGGAGAGTTGTGATACCACACTGAGAGGATTTGCCGCTGCCCTCTCAGGATAGCTGAGCTGTGTCCTGTGGCTCCAGGTTGTGTTCCTCACAGGGTAAATGTTCAGAGGCTTTCTCCTATCCCTGAAACAACAGCTGGTTGCAATAGTTTGGTGCTTTTTCTTTTTTACGGCACAGGAAGTTCGTCTTGGGGAAATAGGTGGAAGCTTTTCCTGATGGTTTAGTGATACCTAAGACTCTTAAAAAGTCCCATTGAGGGAGAAATGTGGATACTGCAAGCCTGAGTGAATGACCAGCTCATAGCATTTGAAGAGACTCTTGGAAATTTTGGGTTAAGGCTTAAGAATCCAGTTAAATAATCTTCAGCATGGTCCTTAGATTGAGCTGGGAAAATGCTGATGGAAGTAAAGGCATTTTCTTTCCATTCTGTTTATTGTATGCATAGTGTAGTCCCTGCACAAAAAAATTCTGTTATTGTTGTAGATGCTGTGTTGACCATGGTGATACTAAAGTGTTGACTCATTTTCTCATCAGAATGCCACTGCAGCAACCTACTTGCTGCTTAAATTTGACCTAGCTTGAGCAAGGTGCAGTGCCATAGCAGTGTCCAATCTTTTTTTTCCCCCCCAAAAAAATGATGGGTAGTTACCATGTCTGTGATACTGGATTGGGTTTTTCCCCCTCCTCGTTTCTTTCTGGAGGTTGGTTTTGGGGGTTTTGTTTGTTTGTTTGGGGTTTTTTTAACTTGTTCACATTTTCATTAATGGAGTATTTTGTGTTTTCAGCGTTCATAACTGGTTAATAGCACTTATTTTTATAATACAAGCTAGCAATATGCCACCTATTACTTTTTGCAATAACAAAGAAATCCTCACTGAGACGTTTTCTGTTCTCTCTTAGGTTGTGATGTTGTGCTGGACTGGCTACGAAAGATGTATTGGAGCCGTCAGCTGGGCAATAACTTGTGTGAAGAAGATGAGGATGAGGAAGAAGAGCAGGAAGAGGTGGAAGCAAATGCAGATGGGGATGGTGAAGCATGGGAGATGCAAACCCCGCAGCGTGAGGCCTGTCAGAAGCACAAGGAATTCCATGGTAGGTGTTCCTAGAACAACAGCAGATACAAGGATTGGATATGCTAAAGAAAGCAGTCTGAATGTGTCATCTTCTAGCATAAACATATACCTTCAGCTCAGGTTTTGGGATTCCTCTTTGGATTTTGGTGGATTCCTGGTGTTTACTGACTGGTTTGGCAGTATTTCTCCAAATTTTTGCACTTTGTGAATTGCTATAGTGCTGCTCCAATTGATGCTAAATGCCAAGTACAAGGAATACAAATATGAATCAGAACATAAACTGCATATGGGAACAATTTCTTCCTACACTAATCTAGAAATTTGGTTTTTATTTGTCTGTGTTTATCCAGCTTACTTGTCTCTGGCTACTGTTAGTGATAAAATATGGAGATCATGGTTCAGCCCCACTTGAGAAAATTCATGTTGCTGGATAAGTCTGGGAGTTTTGGGAGCCTTCAGTGTGTTGTCTCTACAGAATTGTTGGCTTCGTTTCACCAATGCTTGTTCCTTGACTGTAAATTTGGCAAAACTAAACAGCTTCCTTAGATACAAAATTCCCTCACATAGTTGATCTTCTGCTTAAATTATATATTTATGCTTATTTCTAGAAAAAGTCAGAGATGTTCTGACATCTTACAAGAATGAGCAATTCCGGGTAAGTGCACTCTGATGATCAACACTTTCAGTAATTCTATTTTTCTTTTTTGGACAATATGTTTTCTTCCTTTGTTGCCTTAGTTAGTTCCTTGCTCAGGTCTGTCTGCTAGTGTTGTCATACATGGCTTGCCAAGGGAAAACTTCACTACAGAGAACAAGGAATTTGAGCTCTTGACAGTTCCTAACGTGGACACTTTGTTCAGGTTTATAAAGGAGATCTGTGCTTATTGGAGATTCCAAGAAAGGGGAACATTTGTGAACTTTTTCAGGTGCTGGTGATGAAGTACAGGTGGCATGTGCATCTTCTTGTCATAGCAATAATGTCTTTGTAATGGGAGTGTATTTTCTGTTAATGCTTGAATTTTTCCTTCACTCAGGTTATGCAGGCTATGCCATCTCTTTCAAAGTCTCGAGAGTTGTGGTCTGATTCCTCTTCAGAATTGGACTGGATTTTGGCTAAGATCAAAGACCTGATGCAGGAAAACAGGTATGTGTCTGATAAAGAGCTGAGGTGAAAGGTATGGTGCTGAACTGGGCTGTAGACCTATTAAATTGCCTTTTCATAGTGTCCTGTAGCTGATCATAGAGAAAGCAATTAGTGCCTCTTTGAGGACTGAGTTGTTGATGTGTGCTAATGAGCAATGGTCCTTGTGCCAGGTGGTCTCCAAGGTGTTGTCCCAGACTTAGTGATGCTGGCCCCAAGGCAAGCAGCATCTTCAGTGTCTTCAAAAGCTCCCAAAAAATGCTCCCAGGGCTGAGCTCCTCAAAAGCTCAGTCCTGTAGAGATTTTGATTTCACAGGAACCTTTGGAATTCTTCAAAACTGCAGGGCAATACTTGGTATTTTCTATATTTTTTATCTTTCTATTACTACAGAGCCTCTAGGACCCTAGTGTGTTGAGACTTCCTTATTACCATATAATTTTGCATGGAGATCTTGACCTGCTTTGAGAAATCTAAATGGTTTAACTGCAGAGGGGAAAGAGTATCATGTCACAGATAAGAGCTGTAACTCCTGATGTTTTAAATATAAATATATATGCCATACAAGAACAGCATTACCAGATCTCTCAAACAAAAAATTTCTCCATTCCCTCCTCACAGTTCCAGGTGTTTGGCAGTCAAACTTGTTTCAGAGCTGGGGCAGGTGGTGTTTTGATAACATAAAGGAATAAGTGGCAGTAATAAGTCTCTCTGCTCTAGGGCAACAGTGGCTGAAGCTCTTCTCAGTGATGGCTTTCTCATCCCAAAGATGGATTGTCTGAAGATGCTAAATATCAAGTATGAAGGTGAGTGCTTTATGCATCACCCAAGTAGAAAATGCACAGCTTTTCTTATGTTCTTATGTTTTCTTATGGTGTTATGACCAAGTCTGGTCTTCTTTCCTCATTATATTGAAATCTGTAATTGACTGCATTTTTTTGTATATCTGGGTTCTTAAACATCTTTTGCCCTGTTCTCCAGAACCCCTTATGGCCATGCTTAGCTACTGCTTTTGCATAAATCTCTTGGGATGGAAGGATAACTCTTCAGCACTGAATATCTAGCCAAAACATCTTTCAAAGCTTGCACCTCTACCCTTTCCTGCAATACTTGCTGATTTCAGGAACTCACACTAGTTTCTCTTCTACACTGAAGATTTGAAGCAAATAAAAATGGATGGGGTTTTTTGAACCTCATTCACCAGCTGCATCTTAGTTCCAAGCTGCTACCCATATTGGAGTTCCATTTATTGTTTGCAAGAGATCCAGGCACCTAGAAGGAATGAAAATAAATAAATTCCCTATTTTACAGCCAAAGAACTTTCCAAGAAAGATTCTCAAATTTCTATGACTATATAATTGCAGAAAAATTTTAAAGCTTCTTGAGATTTTATGTTGCTTTGCTCAATGAATCTTCTCTTTGCAGTATTTTTTTTTATAGAGTAGCTCTTAGTTATGTGTGAAATAAACTGAAACTGGAAAGGGATTAGCAAAACAGATAGATCTTCCTGTGTTACTAATTTCCATGTGCTAACTGTCAAATTGCTAATTATTTTACTTGCCTAGCATAAGAAAAATAATAGTTTCAGTGAGGACTTGAGGAAATATCCTGGAATCAGTGATCTGAGAACAAACCTCTTTAGTTTGAAGCAAGTGTCACACCTGTATTTCATAAAAAATTATAGAGCACAAATTTCTGACTTGTCTGATTCATTTTTTTTTTTCTTCTTATTGCAGCAAATAAAGAGGTAGGGCAATTCAAAATTCCCCCAGCATTTTACTGCTTTTGGCAGCCTTTGCTGTCAGGCCTCCTTTCACGAAATTTTACACAGATCCTAATAGAGAAAATGTTTGTAGAGCTGAAGGAATGTTCTGACTCTTCAGAATTCCGGCCTCATTTCTTGATCAACTGGATTTCTGAGTTGCTGACTGGCATTGCCAAAGTCAACGCTGGTGAGTGTGTCTGCAACTTCTGTGTTTGGAAAAGCATAAGAGTTTCTTCTGTACTAGTGTAAAACTGTACTAGAAAAGTGGTGGGACCTTTATACATAAAGTGCAGTAGCCTAATGAGTACCTTTTGTCATGTGAACAAAAAGCTTTTATTGTTGCATTTCTTAGACTTTTCACCTGCACCTTGTGCATGTCATGTATTTCTTAGCCCAAAATTGAAATTGTTATTGATAAGTTTGCTGCAGCCTCCTCAAGATAGGAAAAGCAAATCTCTCACAGGAAAGATCTGGCCATTAAGTGCTAATTTCTCCAGATATCAATACTTGTAGGAAATAACATCCTTATATGCTATGTGCTACTGTTACATGTGGTGTGTTACGAGATCCCTGTTCCCAGTTCTTTTCTCCCTTAACAGAAACCTGTCTTTATAAGATACTAAATAATGTTGCTGTCTTTTATTGATCCTATTACAGGATTTTTATGCCTTCTAAATTTACACACATGTAACAAGTAATATTTTGTTTTCAGTTCCTGACTCTTTTGGTAAAATTGGCAGACTGTATGTTTCATTCCAGAGATGGGCACTGAAGGGCCTTAATTATTCAGAGTGTCACAGGTTTCTGCTAACAGGGTTTTTATACTGTGACATTGTGCATCCTTGCAGAGGTTTGCACCCCTTAATTTTGGTGCCTCTTCTATCATCTCCTGGTCTGGCTCAAAGATTTTGCTCTGGTCTGCACCAAGATTTTGGCAGTATCTCAGGCAGTCATAGGTTAAGATTTGGTGCTTTCAGTCAGTGCTGAGCACATCTGTGATGTACCAAGATCCCTGAATGCTGCTGGTTCCCAGCTGTTAAATCCTCTGTTTGCAGAGCTACCTGGAATGATACTGGGTCCCAGATGCAGTACACTGCATTTATCTGTTCAAACACACTTTTTGGCTTTCCTGTCTGTTGTGACATGCACAGGGCCAGCTTGGGAATGTCTGCACTGCTTTGTGGTCAGGTCTGGTGGAGCTACCTGAGCTGTCCATGTGTTGTCAAGTCCTTTATAACAACCCTGATGTTGTATTTGGTTGGTACATCTGGTCGTGCACTTGGGTTAAAATGACAGCTTATTTGAGGATGGGCTCTAGTAAAAATGCAGAGGGATGAAGGCTATATTTTCTATGAGTTTTGAGCATCCTGTTGTTTTCATTATCTTCTTTGAAGGGAAGAAAAAACAACAGTGTAACAAGCAGGTGTCTGTGAAGGAGCTCTTCCTCCATAGAATTCCTTTGCAGTGGATAAGAGTGACTGACAGTTGCTTGCAAGCTCCCTGCTGGGCAACCCCACATCTTCTTCAGCTGTAAGTTTGATGCTGTGACCTAGAAAAGGAGCAGCAAACAGTGCTCTGTAACAGCTTTGGTTCCCTAGTGATCTGCTGAGCTATAGCTGCATTCCCTTGCCTTTCTTTACATCTTGTAGAAATTGTAAGAGGTGCATGTAAAGTCTTGCTTGCTGCTATTTGCCTCCCCATTGATTACACACAAAGAAGGAAAAGAATTTGAAAGGATTGCACCTTTCAGATGAAAGCAGAAGTTATCTGGGGAGGTATTTAAAGAAGCAACCTGTTCAGAAGCAAAGTGACTTGGTAGAGATGTGACCTTATTGAAGTGATAAGAGTTTACCACAGCTCCTGACTTCTATACAAGTAAAGCTAACTTCTGTACAAGAAAACAGTAAAGCAGTAATTCAGTTAGAAGTATCCCAAGTCCTTAATTTTAATCACAGAGTATTCCAATATCCACTGACCAGGGCATAATGAGATTTTGCCTGTTAGGTGAGTTATGTGAGCCAGCTGTCCTGGAGAAAACAAACACTTAAAAGCAAAAAAGACTCCAGATGAAGATTTATCAACCCTTTTAAAACTTTTTCATTGCCCTTTTTCCTCTCCAGGATCCTCACGATCATGAGACCTCGCTTGTCACGTGCTTCTCGGAAGAACCTTCTCTATCTTGCTTCCATTTACACAGAAGGAGGTGCCCCTCTGTCCAGTCCAGGCCTCTCTTCAGATGGCAGTGAACAGCCAATTTATACTATAGAGAGCTTACAGTGGAGAGCCAGGCAAGAAAATCAGGTTAAAAATCAAGGGCAGACTGTAGAGAAACAAGAAGATGTGCCAGAGAGAGACAATGGTGTAGAGGAAGTGGAAGAGGAGGAAGAAGAGATGGTGACTGAAGCAAATGCTTTGGAAGGACTTGCTCATTCTGATACCATGGTGGCCATTGCTGAGAAAAGGGCAGCACTGCAAGGGTCTGCCTGGCAGATCACTGCAGGTAAGAAGTGACTCTAAGACAGTCTTCATCACTGACAAATGTTAATTGAAGTGCAAACACATCTCAGCCCTTTGGGGCTGGCCACAATTAAACTGCTTCAAAGTCATCTAAATGCCAAATTACTGAAAAATGTGGGTTTTCCAGTGTTTTGTTTATGTTCAGGAGTAATTTCACTTAAGCTCATAAAATACTGAGAGTGTGTTTTCCAGGAGCATGCTATTACTGTCCTATTTTTTTATTAAGCTTTTCCAAACTGTTTAAAATTTCAGTGTATCCAGCTGATTGGGCAGCATATATGCCAGCTGAGAATGGTGAAGAAAATATGGATGTTTCTTGGACTTCTGTTTGTCAGACTTGGGGGTATTTGAAAGCACAGTTTGTCTGTGAACCTAAGTTCCATGCTATGGGAAAATGGCTGTTGTGACATGGTGGCAAACAAAAGAAAGGAGCAAGACAGGGTTTTAGAAGGAATAAACAGCATATCCAGTGTTTTGTTAGCTTTGTTACAGTAGCTGTACTTTCTCACTGGGGTTGGAGGTCTCTGTAGCTAAGAATTTTGGATGAGTCATGGAGGGACTCAGACACAGGAGGAGGAAGTTGGTGGAGAGGAGTTGGAGTCAAAATGACATTTAAAGGAAAAAAAGCAGCCACTAGAAGACTGAACTCTTGTACTTCATTCACTGGCAAATTTTCTCAAGTAAAAAAAGAAAAGAACAGACTTAGGTATGCTGATGTGGACAGCTTGTTAGAACTGGATGTTTTGTGAACAGAAGCAAAATTGTCCTCTGCTTCTGTGACATTGGTGCAAATCATTTGCTGAATGGCTGAGTTGCAGGGGGCAGAATTTGTGGAGTGGAGGAGGGTGATCTTGTGTTTCAAAAATCTCTTTGGGAAGCTCAGACTTCTTGGTTTTGTACTGTTTTTATCTAGATGAAGTACGATGGAAAGACTTTCCTCTTGGGAAACTCCCAGGGCAGACAGATGACCCTGATGGGCTCATGTTGGATAATTATTCTATGATGTCCCTGCTTGATCAGCCAGTGAGGGATGAGTGGAAGCCTCTCAATACAAAGTGAGTAATGGTGTGGGTGGGACTTTGCCCCTGAACCATGAAATGCATTTCTCTCTCTGTGCCTTTTAGTATACCATGTGAAAAATTAGGGTTGAGATTTCCTTTTTATTTCTATTTAAATAGTTTGACTCAAATATCTACTATTGTCTCTAAACCTAACCCTAATGGTATCCTTTGAGCATGCCATCTTCTAATATTGCTATCTTCACTCCTCCTGCTCTTTTTTAAAAGAAACCATTCCAAGCATTATGAAATACTGCTGTTTAGCAGGTATCAGCACAGCCCCAGCAGGCTTGAAAATTGAATTTTCTATTACCCGGGGCTTTGTTCTTCAATATGTTGGCAGTGCCCAGTGACCTTTTAGAGCTGTAGCTAGTAATTTAGAGCTGCAGATCTGACCTCAGTAAAGAAACACAGATTGTCCTGGAAATAACTGGGACATTCTATAAAGCTTTAGTCAGATCACCTTTGTTATTAAATGAAGCTCATTGGAGATGTTTTAACAGGGTCATTATTTCACATATTGAAGTCATAGGAACTTGAGTATTGTAAGCTGTCAAATCAGTTTCATCACATACATATAAACCTATCTCCTATTATTTTAATCCAAGAAATGTTTCAGAATGTGAATGAATTGTAGTTATTTTCCTTAACACTGGACTGGACAACCTTCTAATCACTGATTTCTTTCTGTGGTTGGTGGCCCAATCCAGCAGCAATGTGAAGAGCTGAGAATCATGCAGCCTGGGGTATTTCACTGAAGAAATCTTGCACATGTTCACATTTTCACATATTCAGAGTTGTGTTCACATCCCAAGCTTCCAGTTTCAAACCTGAGAAGGATTTCCATTTTTCTCCATCCTCCTGGTTGTCCTCCCTGGCATCAAATTATTGACCTTCCCTTATCAGTAACATCCTGTTCCTTTGGAGGAAGATGCCCTAGACTGCATTTTGAAATATGATTTAGTCATGGTGAAGACTGATAGTATATTAATTGTAAAAACCTACAAGCCAGTTTCATAAATTTCAGGCTGTTTTTTGAACAGTAATGTATCATGCAACTGATATTACTAGAAAATACTCGTGTAGAAAATGAGAAAGCACCTACCAGGCCAAAAGTAACATCTGTTTGTTTCTGCATCTCTTTGTGTGGGGAAAGGGGCAGACAGTTTGTTCCACTCAGATTACAGCCTGGCAGGAAGCCAACGAAAAAAACCTTAGAAAGAAACATGAGGAAAACCTGTTGCTACCACAAACAGAAAGGAGCAGAATCTAATTTATTCCTGTAGCTGTGCCTGGAAACAATCCAGGTTTCATCAGGAGTGCTACAATGGCAGCTTGTTCATTACTCTTATTTCCCTTGCATAGCAGCTCCTCCATTTGCCAAAGGACATGTGGTCTTAGAAAGGTGGTCTGACTTCCCCAAGGCAGAAGGAAGAAGATTAAACACTGCTAATGTGCTTTATTCTCTTCCTCACAGCTCTGCAGAATTGAATATTCCCATGACAGGAGGATTGTTATGGACCCAGAACGACTTACATAAAATAAAAAGTGGCCTTCAACTTTTCTGAGACAGCAGCAGAGTGCTCTGTGGCTTTTAGTATTGCACAAGTTAAGTCTCATGGAAGATCTAATAATGGTGGTGGGAAAACAGTCACTCCAGAAGAAGTTGTTGTTGCTGTGATTTATTGATTTTTACCATGTAAAATCAATGTTTTTTAAAGGTCTTGTGTTTTTAGTTACATGTACAGTGACCATTGTCTTGCTTAACCAGTTGAAGCTTGCCAAATAGAGTTAAGAGTATTTTGGAATCCCTCCATGTTCCTTAACTTTTTCATAAATAAATACAACTGACTGAAGGCAAACCTTGCTCCTGGGTGCTGTTTCCCAGTTTTCACTCTGGGAAATGTCCTCTGGCCCTCATCAGTGAGACTGTTAATACATTCCTATTTCATTGATGCTGATACTATCCTGGAGGAGTGATTGTACCAGGATAAGATTGTGCTGCAGTTTTCACCTGTCTGCATTTCACATGAAGCTTCAGGGATCGATCCTAGCTAGAGCATGGCTGAATGTGATACATAAATATCTTTGAAATGTTTTTGTCACGATGTTTTTTCAAGTGATAGTCTTGAAGCCACTGCTGTCTCTTTTTGATTGAAGTGTTTTGCTTCATGTTACTTCTGTTCATGATTTTGCTGATATTCATAACCAACACTGTGGTGTTTGCTGAGAGCTGGTGTGATCACTGCAGAAAAGGACTGAACTAGTACCTTGCTGCAAAGTTGTTGAGAAAAATGGCTTCCAGATAGTTTTTCCTAAATTCAGTTTTCTTTACCTGTATTACAGGTTCTTGGAACTTAAAGAGGTTTCTGCAGTTACCTGTCAACACCCCCAGGAGTTTAAGTGTATATTTATTGCAGGACTCCTCAGTAAGAATTTTTTTAAGTGCATCTGCTAGAGGGTAAAACAGAGGCTTTCTCTGAGTCCTTCTAGCAATTTTTGGGTTTTACTAAGTGTAAGGAATAACACATCAAGGGAAGGGATACAAAAAGGGACATAGAACTTCAGCAGCACATTGCACAGGGGTTGAAATGCATGTTTAGAACAGCAGCTTCATGGATGCTTTGCACTGGCTCTCAAGTAAAGAGATGGCCAGAATGTAAATATTATTTCTTTATTCCTTCTCTAGTTTTTTGTTACCCTGCTCTACTGCAGTTGCTTGTTACCACATATCCAAAAATGGAACATATGTTGCATATTTCCTTCTATAAAAGCAAGCAGTGCCAATGCAAAGGAAATAAACTTTCTGTTAGGAGGGATTTTTCATGGAAGCTCTTTCCTTTTAAAGTATTTTTAGAAATACTTATTTTATCCAGTAGTTAATTAGGCTTATTTAGGAAATTCTGAGTGAAAGGGATTTGTTCCTTTATTACTGCATTTAGCTGAGTATGAAATTACTTCAATTACTGTATTTTCTATTGCCAACAAGCACAGCAGTTCAAACACACTGTGCCATCTGTAACAGTTTGTTTTACTCACTGGAGAAAGTGCATTTGGTAAAATCCTGTGCTGCTACTACTACTACACTACCTTGATCAGCTGTAGTTACTGCCTTGTGTATCTGCCATTACCCCAAAATCTGGGATTTTTTTCAGTCAATCAGCAAAAAAACCCCCCAAGAAATAACATGGACAGACTGCAACAGTTGTTTTGAGCAAAAAAGCTTTTGGGGGGTGTTGTCTAAAGAGGGTTGAAAAATAAAAAGCTAAAAACAAATAATCCAATGGCTCTCAGTTTTATTAAATAAGCAAAATTATATATATATATATATATAAACTATAACATATTTCATATTATTAAATAATTGTGCAAAACATTTACATAGAGCAGGAGGGGAACAGGTGATAGCCTATACTTCTTTTAGATTCTTGCAATTCTTTTAATACATTTACAAACTTTAAATACAGACCAAAATCAGCAATATTGTATAATCACTCTTGAAAGGCTAACCAAACACTGGCATAAGAATAATTTATGTGATGGTGCAATTGTATTTTTCCAGTTGAAATATTGCAGGAAATACACTTAATGAGGGCCCTGTCACACAAACAAGCAATAGGTAATCAGAGCAGTGTGAAAGCTGAATGCTCACCACAGAGGGGACTGTGACAGATGCTTCAGGTAAACTTTAGGCAAGTCAAGATCAAGTAATACTTCAACTTTGGAACAAAGTTTCACAGAAATGTTACATGTTCCTTCTCCTTAGTGTGGAGTTTTAAAAATGAGAATAATCCAATGTTCCTGTTTGTGGATTGATATAGATCAGGTATGCATACATGTCACCAAGTATTTTTAACTTTATTATTTGAACAAAATGCCACAATGCATAATGTATGTATGTAGGGGGAAACTCACCTACTTAGATGTTTTTGGTTTTATTTGGTTTGATTTTTTTTCAATGAAGCTCCTTCTGCTTGTTCTAACCAACCATACTCCACACCTATTTTTAACTTTACAGCTAAAGCATTTTTACAAAAGCTAAACAGACTCATGCTAGTAAATAAATTACATGCTGCAGCAACTAGAGCAGTGCCCACTTACCACTACAGAGATTTAAGAATACCACATACTGGTTTAACATCCATTTTCACTCATTTTGTCATTAAGACTTACATTATATTTGGGTCAACCAAAAAAACCCAAAGAGATTTATAAAATTTTACAACAATTAAACAGTAATGTTTAATTCTACAAATGAATAAAGCCAACTACTGCAGCTCAATATGACAACAACAGGACTAACAGCAGTGAAATCATGTACAATTTACTATATTACTGACATGTAATTCTTACAAAAAACATGAAATAATTTAGACTGACATCCCATAAAGCATTTGGTTTTTGATTTATGAATTTAAAGTTACACACTTTTAAGTGACAAATTATGTGAAAGTAATATAGCTGAAGATGAAAGAGAAGTAAATCAGAACTCCCAGAGAATGCTCTGGCCCCAGTAAAGCACTAAAATCTACTGCTCAACTCTTATCAACTGCAGTAGTCCATGATTTTACCTTCACAATTTTCCCCCCTCATCTAGAATTGTTTTTTCATGGATTTTATTAAAATATAGTTTCTAGAACTGTTCTTTTACAGTTTTAAAAACATTTAAATACCATGCTCTAAAAAAGAGCATTTATACAAAGTCTTATATTTACAATATAGACAGTTATGATCAGGTGTTAATAAGATCAACTCTTCCATGTAAGAAGAAATCCAAGCTTATGCGCTGAAGATTAATGAATGTGTCAGTGTCTTGAACTGTCTTGTAAACATATCTGAAAACAGGTGTGGATGACCAAATTATCACTTAAAGTAGTTGATCAGGAAAGACTACATCACATAGAAAAGTTGCATTGCCTCTAAGGAGGACTAAACAAGCACAAAATTTGCAGGTTATTTCCACAAGGCTGCACTGCCAATTCTGTAACTAAGCACGAGAGATGCCAGCAGCTTCTCAGAATAAGACAATTTGCCTTTGAAGTGCCTTAGGGAAATAGTATGCTGGGTTTGTGTTCTCACAGCATTCCCATTGTTTAAAAAGGAATTCTTCCATCAGTAAAACAAAAGTTAGTGAAAATTAAAATGACTGGACAAATCCAACAGAAATGGATATCTCCATAAGCCACCCAGCACTTCATACAGAAATCTCTGTTGAGTTTTCCACATTAGAAAACTTCAAAATCACCTACTAATCCTCTCTTCAAATAGCTTATCTTTACAAATGGAGAAAAATGGAACAAACATTTTTCTGCATACAAATTTTTAATTCCATGCAAGATGGAAAACATGAGTGCACAATAAACTTCATCTCATACCTAAATAATTTATAAATTAATTGGTTAGAATAAAATAGGGTCTATAGCAATTACTGTTACATTTTAAACACATGCAGATGAGTTAACAGCAACATTTTTACATAAAGTTTAGTGCAAGAATGTATCTGCTTAATAAATAGACTGAAGATACCTATGTAATGCTTTGAGGTGTACACACAGTATTTGTGCACATAATAACCTGGTTCTGAAAAGTTGTCCCTGTTTGTCTATAAACTACAAGTGCCCATTTTAAATAAAAAAATCCATAATTATTCATGGGCTACTTCCCTGTGACACATGGTGTCACAAACATTGTGGTGAAAATGTAATACTGAAGTTAATCTAGAGATTATTTTTTTTTATACACAGTTTTTATACAATCAAGAAAAAGAGATACAATTTGTATCAACAAACAAAAGGTCATTTCTGGTTATTTGAGGCATTGCTCTCAGCTGCTTATATCATGCAAGAGAAGAGAATAAGAATTAATTGCAAATTAAAAATATGAAATGTTTTTGAAAACTGGTCAAGAGTTAAATCTGTTTTCCCCCAGCTATTATAAGTGTCTGAATTATTTTCCCCACTAACAGAGAGAATAATCAACTAATTAAAACTTAAATTATTTTTAAACACCAAGTGTAAGTACAGAGTCACCTTCAAGTTACTTCATTTCAGATACATAATGACATAGTCATTATATACATCACCTGTACCAACACAAGAAAATTTATCCTGTGTGAAATGATACAGTTATCAAATGTCAATAAATTAACTGTAGTTGCACCCATAATTGTGGTTTCTTGTTGGTTCATTTGGTGGGTTTTTTATATGACAGGAACCTATTTTGCACATGATAAAGAGCCCACAAGATATTCTGAATCAAACCAACCACTACAGTAACACAAGTGGAGGAAATGATAAACTTTGTTTCTCAGACAAACAGATAACTAGAAAGCAGCATGCAAGCCATTATCAAAACACCAGAAACAACCCTGACTGCAGCCTCACGTTCTGTGTGTTTCACAGTAAGAAACATTTAGGCAGTGTCACACCTTCTCATGAAGAAACAAAAGGCCATAAACCAGGCCTTCTCAACTTTCATGAAAAAAACTACAGTAGAAGTCAACAAGTCCTAGCTCGAGACATGTCGAGTTAGTCATGGTTCAAAATGTTGAAATATACAGTGGATTCAAAAAAGGGCGTACAGTCAGTGCAGCTTAAAAAAACCAATAAACGCCTCTTTTGGAGACATTTAGCTACAAAGGTTCCCACCCTGAGCAAGATACCAGTTGCGCAAACAATGCCACACAAAATTATCTCACCTGTTGAAACAGGAACTCTAAAAGCCTTCACGAGGCAAATGCACACCTTTGCGTGGATCTGAAGAGCAAAAACCAGGACAGCTTTGCCACAAACCCAAACTGGAACATCTCTTTTCAAGAAGCAGCCTTCCCCCTCCACCCTTTGTGAAGATGATCTTGTACAGC